ATCATCCAGAAAGAAGAAAATAGAGAACGAGGGAAAAATAATCCAAAAATAACGAGTAATATGAATATGTGTAATACCTTAACAACTATATATTTTATGAATAAATATATGAAAATTTTTAAAAGAAACATAATAAATTAACTTTTTGACTTTACTGTTTACTAACAACTATAAGGTTATTTTAACATGATACAATTAATAACAAACAAGTTAAAATAAAATTCTTATTTAGTATAAATACACATAAAAATAAGCTTGGTGAGGAATGTTAGCTAGTGGATGAAATTTGTTTCAAGAGTAATTAAAAAAATTATGACTCTATTATTTTTTTATTTTCATATAATTTAATGTTTCTAAATATTAGTTTATTCATAAGCATCATATTAAAATAAAACAAACAAAATGTAAGGATAAACATAATTATTTTAAAGTTACCATTGAAATAACTTGATTTCCTTCCCTTATCTTCACACCCAACCACACCCAACCACGTATATAACAATAACACATTTTTGTACGAAATTATAGATAATCTCTCTAAGAAGTAATTTTGCTCAAATATGTTAATGAACATCGAAGTTTTTTCTTTATAAATCACATTAAATTAAAATGATTTCATATTAGTTTATTCACATGATCGAATAACATGAGTGAAATAATTTCTTATATCATAAAAAAATAACATTGCATTAACATTGTTGTAAAGTTATTGCGTAAAACAGTACTTTTCTACTAAGCTGATATTAAAATATTTTCATTAGTTTGTTAAATTTTATCACTGTTTGTCTTTAATTTCAGTTCCTAATAGAAGAGGTTTTTATTGGAAGGTCTTGAATTATATAAATATGTTTTGATTGGACAAATTTTTCATTCGAGTTAGTAAATATTTATGTAGAGTGTAGCACATTTTCTTTAGTAATTCAATAATGAGATATGAAATTAGTTAGACTAACCAATCAAATCGAGACAAACTTTATATCATAATTGCTGAATTATTATCTAATACAATCCCCTAATTCAGTAACTGATTTAACATTTAATTTATTTTTCAATTCTTTGAACCTTCAATTATTCAAAGGTTTCGGTATAATGTCCGTCAGTTGCTCCTTCATGCCACAATGCTCAAACATTAACTTCTTCCTTACTTCATCTCTGATGAAATGAAATCTCAATCTGATATGTTTGTTTCTCCCATGATGAATTGAATTTTTCGCTAAATTGCTGGTTGACTTATTTCAATCTTTAATGTCATAGTTTTCTCTAGTTTTCTAAAGACTTGATTCACCAAACTCTTGATCTACAATGCTTGACATGTTATGTAAACAATAACCATGTATTCAAATTTATAAGAGGTGAATGTCACAATAGGTTGTAACTTCGAGCACCATAAAATTGGTAATTTTTTCAATAGAAATACATCATTTAATGTGCTTCTGAATCCAACTTTATCACCAACCCAGTCAGAATCAAAATATCCGATCAATTCTCCTATATTTTGATATATAGCCTTTGCAATAGAATACAAAAATCAATTATCCATTTAATATACCTCAAAACTCTCTTTGTTGTTGCAAGACGAAAAACTTTGGGTTTCTCTATAAATTTTTTTAGCAACCTAACACCAAAACAAATATTCGGCCTACTACAATACAAATACCTTAGGCAACCAACCATTTGTCAGTAAATTGTGGGCTTTCCATCTTTATATTTGTCAAGCTTCAAATTTGTTTCAATTGGTGTAGTTGTTGCAGTATACTCACTCATCCTAAATTTGTTGAGTACTTCTTTGATATATTTACTTTGGTGAATTAAAATGTATTTCTTGTCTTTGATGAATTTTATTCTCAAAAAATATGACATCTTCCCTAAATCGGTCATCTTAAACTAATCTTCAATCGAAGTAATTTTACTGTTTATAATCAACAAATCATCGACATATAAGCAAACAATTAACACATCATCTTCTTTGATTCTCGAATAAATCTCATACTCGACTTCACACTTCAAGAATCCTTGTTGTTGAAGACAACCATCGATTTTAGTATTTCAGACTCTTGAGACCTGTTTCAAGCCATATAACACCTTATTCAATCTAAGAACCTTCTGTTCTTCTTGATTAATCACAAACCTTAGTGATTGTGTAACATAAACTTCTTCCTCCAATTCACCATTCAAAAATGCAAATTTTACAAGTCTTGTTTTATGTTTTGCAACTGTTCCATCCGGTTTCAACTTCGTCTTGTCCACTTTACTTCAATTGGCCTTTGATTATCTAAGAGATCAGTTAATTTTCATGTTTTATTTTTCTTGATTGCCAACAACTCCTTTCATGGCTTCGATCCACTTGGGATCCTCAATCCTTTCTTCCTTCTCTCCTCTAGAACATCCCTTCATGTAATCCAACCAAATATTCTCAAGTGTTTTACATTTGGTTTTTTCCTAGATCATACTTCCTCTGGTGTTTTCTCCTTCACTCTCTTTATTGAACATCGATTCAAGATATATATGATTGTCGATACTGCTTCTCCCCAAAATGATTGTGGCATGCCTTTGATTTTCAACATATTTCTGACCATATTTAAAATTGTTCAATTTCTTCTTTCAGCAATATCATTGTGTTATGGAGTGTATGAGAGTATAATCTCATGCAAAATAATGTTCTTCTTGCAAAAGGATTACCATTGTTATACTCTCGATCACTATTTGATCTCAACACTTTAATAGTTTGACTACGTTATTTTTCAACCATCTATTTAAAATTAACGAAGTGATTAAACACCTATGACTTCTTCTCGAGCAAGTACATCCACATCTTCTTGCTATAGTTATCAATAAAAGTTACAAAATACTTATTTTCACCTAGTGAATAAACATCAAAAGGTCCACACAGATTGATGTAAACAACCTCCAACACATCCTTGTTTCTGCTCTCGATACTCACTTTAAAAGGATTTTTGACTTATTTTGCTGTTATACAACCTTCACATATGTCTTTACTTTTTTGGACTCGAGACAATCCAATCACCATCTCCTTTTTTAGACTCTCAAGTTGGCTCAAACTATCGAAGCCAAAATGACCAAACCTTAAATGTCACAACCAATTATCATCCAAGACTGTTGTTGCAAAACACAAATTATTTGATCGTTAAATATCGAATTGAAAAACTATATTTTTTCTTAAAGGTGCCTCAAAATTGGTGTCCCATTCTTATCAAGGATTCTCAACATTTGCTCCATCGATTTCCAATCGATCAAATACCCTTTATGAAGTAGTTGTCCGGTACTCAGTAGATTATGCTTTATGGCTGGAACATAATACACATCCAAAATTATTATAAATTTACCATTTCTTCTTATCATTATTCTACCTTTCCCTTCACAATTTACTATTAAGTTATCTGCAAATTTTACCTTCGATCTAACATTCTCATCGAGATCGACGAACCAACTCTTCTGAAATGACATATGATTAGCACAATCAATATCCAAATATCAAGATTCACCAAAAGTCTCTAATGATTTCGTAGTGGTGATCATTAACAGTACTTCATCCTTCTAGTCTTCCTTTTATGCAACATTAGTCTCTTCTTCTTTACTTCAACCGTCAACAACAACATAATGATCATACTTGTGACAATTGTAACGTTGTACATTTTTCTTACTAGCACCAGAACCAGATCGACCACCTCTCTATTTTGATTTTTTCCTTTGTCCCCTCTCGATTTTGAAGAACTCTCTTGTTGCCCTTCTAAGTCTTGTCCACCATTATTTCTACCTATTTCTCTTTCTCAACCTCTCTTGTTCGATTTTTCTATATTCTCATCATTCTTTTGATTTTGTTTCGTCAACAACGTTTGTTTTGTATTTGACTTCTCTTCAGCTTGCACACATAACCGTTGTTCGTAAACTTTCAATGACCCCTGTAGTTCATCAAGTTTGAACAAATCGAGATCTTTTGACTATTCAATAACAACTGAAATTATATCAAATCTTGCATTGATGGTCTTTAACACCTTTTCTACCACCGTTCGTTCCTTTAGGCTTTCACCACATGATTTCATCAAGTTTGTGATCGACAACAATCTTGCAAAGTATTCTTAGATGATTTTTTACGTCCCCATCTACAACAAATCATATTGACGACACAAGGTTTGAAGTCGCACCACCTTCAACCTCTCATTGCTTGCGTAACTATGCGTCAGTATATCCCATGTTTTTTTCGTCGAATTTGTCAACGAAATCTTCTCAAAATTATTTTCTTTAACATATTGATGCATGTAGAACATAACTTTGTAATCATGTCTCTTTTTTTCTCGAAACATTGCATGTTATGCCTCAGTGAAATTAACTGATAACTCCTCATATTTACTCAGAACTATGTCCAAGACTTCTTGAAATCCGTAGAAAAATAATCATGATGATATATATTATTTTGGCAAAAATGTTCTTTAGTCGTTATAACTCAAAAAATACAAAAACTTGTAAAAAATATCCCTTTAGTCTCTTTTTATGTGCGTGGGTAAATTTTCTTTGATTCTTTTTATATCAAATTATGGTGAATGTGCGTTCAAAATGAAGTGGATGAGGGGTTTAGGGGATTTTGCACATTGTGAAGGGTTATAAACGTCTAGTTTATATTTAGAGGAGTTGATTATAATTAAATGCTAGATTTATATATAGAGCTAGTTAAATTTTACATATCTTTTTTTTAGGTAAAAAAAAAAATAGTATATACAATTTTTACTAGGCTTGTCAAGTTCCGTACTTGAACATGGCAACCTTTCAAATGTACAACTATACAATGCTACTTATGACCACCAATGAAACCTCCTTAACTTGATGGTCCTTTCCTTAGGGTACAGTCTAGATGGTTTTCTACAAAAGTTTCCAATATCTATGCTATAAATACAAACATGATCCTGGGAATGCATAACATATTTAAAATTTGTAGGACAAAGTTTTCCTCAAACACATTGCAACATATTAGCATATCTTTAACCATGGTACCTTCAATTCTTCATGGTGAATCCAGGGTTGATAAAACAACTAACCCTTCTTACAACTTGATACCCATTTCCCAAGACGATGAGGACCATGAGATATCATATAATTGTGACGAGTTTTGTGGAACACCTTGGCGAATTGCTAGAACCATCTTGGGTTTGATTTCGATTGTTGTTTTCTTGGCAACTATTTTCGCAAATGAATATAGTGACACCCCAATGACACATACAACCCCACCAAGATTTTTCCTTCATTCTTTTTGTGTTGACAAGTTCAATATCTCCCAAGGGGAGTTATCAGCCACATGGAACGTGGACCTAAACATCTCCAATGGGGCAAACTCGTCGTTCATAAACTTTCTCAACTTGAAGGCCTTTATGGTGTTCAAGGAAGACATAGCTCTAGCAGTTAGTACCCCAATTCAAACAGAAGATTTATTAGATATACGTGGGGTTTTCTTCATGGATAAGAATGAGAACAAGACCTTGCATTTGAGTTTTAACACCACGGGGTGGGAGAGGGATCAACCCGTGGTGGATGATGATGTGATTCAAGAGATTGATCGAGAGATGATAACGGGTGTTATGAGCTTTGGATTGAGGATAGAAGTTGAAGCAGAAATCGAATTCAATATGATGAACTTGCCCGTGTTCATGCAACCTTATTGTCCCAATTTAGAAGTTGATTTTGCACCTTTGCGACGAGGTGAGGCAGCAACGTTGGTCGCTATTGACGAGGTCAGAGAGTGCTTTGACAATGTGGATCAATGGAACATTGTAGGGTATTAAGAAACTGCAGTTTTGAATTTTTACCCACCATTATGAATGAAGGTGATAAATTGTGAGGGGTTTGGCTTCTTATTTTTGGTTGTGTATAGGGGGAGCCTACAAATTTGTAACCCAAATAAATGACTAAATGTTATTTATTATTTTATGTTGTGACTTTCTCTTTTAGATTTTCGTTCATCGAGTTTTAAAAGTTTAATTTAATTATGTTTTATGCTTCTTTTAAGTATTTTGTTTGATCCTTTTCAGGCATCATAATAGAGTTTAAAAAAAAAATGACCTGTATGAACTTTAAAAAAATATATATATATATATATATATATATATATATATATATATATATAGTACGAAATTAACATTATTAAGGAACATATCAATGAACTCTGATAATTTATTTAACTTTTTTATTAAATAATAAAATACTATATTAAGATTTTTAAAATTTAATATATCAAAACACGAAATTTTCAAAAACATAAAAGAGTAGAACTTAGCCAAAGTAAATTATGGTTCATTGTTGAATTATTTGTTGAGATAATTAAAAATTAATAATTTGGTCAACGTAACACTGCACGTACAAACAGATTGTTTAGAAAGTAACATTAAATAGCATGCATAAAATTAGTAATCATAACCATATTTAATAATCACACTAACAGGTATAGTAATCATAACTACGTGTCGTATTAAAATATACCATTTTCAATCCATGAATATAAATAAACCATGTAAAAAATAATCGTTTTTTTTTTAATTAAACATAGGTAAAGTTAATCATTAGCTGCATTGTCCGAAAGGCTATACAATTACGTAGATTAAGATTTTAATTATTCTCATTAACATACTAATATCATCTTCTTTTCCAAGTTTCCATGCCACAATGCTCCTTGTTGTAATGCCCTTATACATTTACAATCTTTTTAGACTAATGTCATGAAGGTTGCTATTTATTTTTTTTATTATGTTTTTAATTTACATGAATGTCTTAATGGAAATTGGATCTTACTCATGACCTAGCCCATTACAAACTCATCCTGCCTTCTTTTGGAGCCCAATATCGTATCCTCCTCGGCCCAATAACGATTTCTTAATCTAATTGTACCTGTTTCCCTGAGAATTATTATACTTTAATGATTATGGATTTATTATAAAATAATTTTACATTGTTATCCAATTATAAATTTGGATTAATATTAACTTTGAAGTGTTTATGATAAAAATTTTTGTAATGATTATTTATGATACAATAATAGCATAAAGCTATTTTGCATAAGGGTATAGTTTTTTCCCTCTCTAATTATTCTACCAATGTTCTCCAGTCATTTGTCAAGGTCTTAATTTTTTTCCCGTTCTATTCATGTTAAAAATAAATTATTGAATGAAAATAAAAATAATATATAGGTATTTTATTTATGTTAAATAATAAATATAATTTATAATTAAATTTTGAACCTAAATTTAATTTCAATTATTATTTTTTAACTTAATTAATATTTTTAGTTTTAAACTAACTATAATTAATAATAATAAATAATAGAGGTTATAATATAGTCCAAATTGAAAATTAACAGATATCTTTGCAGTTGATTAAGATGAATTTAAATTTAACATTTAGTTTAATGAAATTGTTAAGACAAATTAAAATTATTTATTTTGGATCCATTCCAACTTAGTTAAGAGTCCCGCATTCACTTTTCAGAAAGTACAATAATTTGTTAACAATATTGATAATAAAATTTTTATTTAATTAATAATATTTGTATAACACAATATTATATTTATACTATTTGAAAGTATATGTGTGAACTTAAGTTTTCTACTTATTTTATCCTACAATTTAATTATATATATAATTTTTTTTATATTTGATAAAACATTAAGTTGATCTAATTTGCTTTCATATATTTTGGGTTTTAAAAAAAAGTTACACTCTAGTTCAAATAAGTGGATGATAAAAATTTTGGATTGGATAAGGATAAAGTGAACCCATATCCAAACTTGTCCTTTTTTCACCTTTAAATAACAATAAAGGAAAATAAAAATTAGCAAATTTTATATTAAAAGTCTGATAAAAAAATCTCTTCTGAGTAATTAAATCTATCTCGTGACCACTAATTAAGTTGAACCAAATTTGTGTTAATTAGTTGATTTACATTTTCAGGTAAATTATCATTAATTTAAATCTTAAAATATTTACAAAATAAAAAATAAATCAATGTTAATTAGTAAAGTAAAAATAGAGTAATAATTCTGCGGCTGAATTTTTTTACCATGACTCATTTCCATCACTTTATCTTGGCAATAAATTACAAAATAACGTTAAAAAAAGTCCACATTATCTCACCATCCACAACTTACTACATTTGGCGTACTTTACTTGACCCACATATCTAATCTAATCTTATATTGATTTTATATTACACACATTGCAACATACAGAAACAACCAAACCTACGATCATCACACATTTCTATCAATCTAATTTTGAGTCTTTCCGAACTTTTCATGACCAAAAACCACATTTCGCCTTGTTCCTTCCTTGGGGTGATAGACTTCACCGCATTGCCTCTCTCTCCCTCTCTTCTCTCTCTCTCTCCCTCATTCACCATCACAATCACCGTCGTCATTGGGAGAGAGAACAAATTAAACCAAATTAGAGACTATGATATGAACAACATAGTCAAAGATTTTGGTGGCCAAATCATCTTTGATTTCTTGCAATATCAAGAAAAACAATATAAAACCTTGTAATCTGTAAGCAACATATGGGTTCTTCCAACCACGAAAAAGGTAGTTCCTATCCAGAATCATCACCACAATCCACTTACTATTCCTCAGGAAAATCCGTCGACGCACCACCACCAACCAACATGTACCCGACCCATCCACCACCACCAATGTATTATCCACACCCTCAAGGATACCCACAATACCATAATGCTTACCCTCCCGGGTACCATTACCCCCAACCCGCACCTTACTATGGTCCCCCTCCCTCCTATGAAAGCTCTTCTTCATCTTGTGCTCGGTGCTGCCGAAGCCTCCTCTCGTGTTTCATAATGATCGTCGCGCTTCTTTTTCTCATGACCATCCTCCTAGCTTTGATGCTGCGTCCGCAACTACCCGTGTACAAGGTTTCCTCCTTCGCCGTTAAAAACTTCACAACCTCGCCAACCCTAGCTGGCCAATGGGACATTAAAATGGCCATGGGAAACCCTAACGACAAACTCATCACATTTTTCTCCGACTTTAAGGTTGACATCGGGTACAAGGACGGTGTTGTGGCGATTAGTCGTGCGTCTGGAGTTGCCTTGAACACGAAGGAACATGCGGACGTGGACATGAGGGGTTTGTTCGACCACGGGAATGGAAATTCATTGGACAAGAAAATAAAGGATGACTTGGTCAAAGAACGAGGTACCGACTCCATTACCTTCACTTTGAGGGTGTCTTCCATGGTCGTGTTTAAGTCTGGTTCCGTTTCAACGAGGAGCGAAGAGATCATGGCAGTTTGTGATGGGTTGAAGATCAAGTTTCAAAATAATGATGCTACTGATGGGGAATTGGACAATAAGGGAAATCCTATTCAATGCCTGCTATATGTTTGAAATTTGTTAGCTCATAACTAACCCTTTTTCCAACACCGTTGGTACATTAATTAGTCTGAGATTATTGTAATTTGGTATTGAGTTTCACTCCTGTTTCTTGTTGCTCAAATACTCAATTACAATCTAATTTCTTTTTAACTCACCTTCAACTATGCCTGTAATTACGACCACATCAGTTTCATTTTGATCCCATCATCAGGATCGCCATCTGCTTCCAGTAGAAAATTCCTCTAGTTTCTTAAAAAAAACATTTATTTTCATTTGGGGTATAGAAATTTAATTAATTAATTAATTTTGTTTGTTACTTTGATTTTTTGCAGTTTCCTTCGTCTTTCTCTTCCTATATTTTGTTCTAGTTTGATCTTAGTTAATTTGTTTGGTTTTTAGCCAAAACTAGAGCTTGTGAAAAATCACTAAATCAATGTATTGTATGCAGTGTCATACCTATAATTGAACGCTATTTTAAAATCTTAGTTAGTGTCAGTTATATTTTTAACATTTTCAAATTTTTAAATCTATTAAAATATTTTAATTTTTATACAGTCTTAATATTTTAACACACCCTCGCACTAAAAACTTAATATCTCAAATACGAGATTAGATAATTCAGTTTTTTTTAAAATAATTTAATTTTATTTATGTAGTTCAGTTTCAATTATAACATTTTAAGAGTGGAACCCTCACAATTGTACCAATGCTTCTGCAAACCCCACAATTACATGTTTATTATAATCGAATCGCACAATTAGTAATTTTCATTCCAAATGTTTAATTCAAAATTTACAATCAAAAGATTCTCTTTTGTTCATAAAGATTTTAATTGAAATAAATTGATTCACCCTAATTTCATGAACTTGTATTATACATAAAGCTGTGTCGCGCACCCTCATCTCCGCCGTAAAGACAAACATTTTAACACTTCCCACTGCTCACTGTGGTTTGCATAACGTAACGCTCCTTCTCCTTCTTCTTTCAAATATCCATCCACAATCACTATGACAACACCAAACACCACCTTCAAAACCCTAACCCTAAACCTTGACCCTCAACCATGGTTAGAGCCAAAACCTCCTTCAACCTCCACTACCTCTCCGCCGTGAGCTACTTCGTCATGATCTCTCTCCTCGCCGCGTTTCTCTGGATGGCCTTCACACCCCAAGCCCCGCGCTTTCAACTAACGTCCCTCACCGTCACCTCCCTCGCCACAAACACTGGCGCTGAGCTGACAGCGACGTTCAACGTTAATGCTGTTCTCGGGAACCCCAACGTCGCGCTCTCCGTCTGCTACGAGAGCCTCCGCCTTGCGCTCCTCTTCGACAACCTCGTCATCTCCGCCACCCTGATCCAACCGCTCCCGTTCTCCACCGCCGCCCAGACCGACACCCCGGTCCGAGCCCGGTACGCGGTCGCTCACAGACTGTTCCCCGACGGCGTCGTCAGAGGAATCACCGAGCAGTGTCGTCGTGGTTCGGTATACTTCGGAGTCACGGTGCTAGCTCGGCTTAGGTTCACGTTTGGCGCATTGCGCACCAGAGTTAGAACTTTGAGGCTTGAGTGTTACCCGTTGCAGGTTGCGTTCCCATCCCGCAACAACGGTACTGGAAGGCTGGTTGCTCCTTCTGATTGTTATGCAGTTTAATGCAATTCGCACTTGTGTGTGCTCTGTATACAATGTTGTTCTTCACCCTATTTATGACAATAAAGAGGCAACAATAATATTTTGTTCTGTGTTGTATTAATTAGTTTCTGGTGGATGAGCTAAATAGTTCATATAGTATAGATTATGTAGCTGGTTTGTTAAGTGAGTAGAATACTACGTTTATATAGTTAATTTTGCTCCTTAAACCGTTGGACATTAGCATATTTGGTCATTCAAAACATTTTCTTGGCCCTTCTGCTTGTCATGGATTGCTTGAAATCTGTTGAGTGCTTATCTTTTTACCCATTGTACATTTATACGGAGAACCCTATTAGACGTGTGATAGGATGCTCTTAGGTAGTAAATTTTTTTTTTTTTTTTTTTTGTGGTTTATGTTAGGGAAATGAGCTTCCCACTGATTAGGTCCATAAAGGGCATGCTAACGGACCATTAGCTTATAAATAGGGATATACTATGAACAACTTTTGGTGATTGAGAAAGCAGTGTAAGGAATGGAATCTTGGTGTAGTTTGAAACCAAAATTGAAGAGGTTTTGCACCTGAACAAGGTATAGTTTGAAATGCTAGGGGTAAGGAATGGAATCTTTGGAGGATGTGATGAAATAATGGCTGACAAAAGACGTTGGTAACATGATCCAGTGGACATGGGTAAGGAATTCACATTGAAGTGCCAAGTGTGAGCAATCTTTCGTGCTGGAGGAACAAAACAGAAGTGCAGGTGAAATTTAAGTGTCAAGAGGAAAGAAACGAATCACGGTGGCATAGAAGAGTGGATGGTCAAGTAAAAAACCAAGAACAGAAAAAAAAGAAGAATCGAAAGGAGAACAAGAAGCCAGAGAAGTGAGGAAATTGTTGGAGAATGCATGGACCGTTCATTGCAAGAACCATTAGAACCGTATTCAGTCATGGAAAATTGAGAGAACTGGAATATCACAATTAGAACGCTTCACAAGTAGCTCTTAAAAAACTTCCCTTTCCCAAGTCTTGTAGCAAGTCATTTTCTAAGTTGCATTTAGACACGGGTGTATCGATGTATGTGAGGATACACGTATCATCCATCAGCTCAAGTGTCACAGAGCGGTCATCGATCTTCAAAAGCATTACAGCAAGCAGGGACCAAGATGACTGCCATTTTGATTGAAGTTTCAAGATACACAAACTCACCAATAAGCAGGTGCCAACGTGCTGGCAGTAGCTGTCTAATAGCTGTAGATGTTTGTAACTAACGCTAAATGGTCTAGCCTTCAGGATGTATCTTTTAACTTTCTTCTTGAACCTTCAATCAAATTTGTTTCTTTGCTGACAAAGAATAAATAAATAAAAGAGAACCCATAAGCTGAAAAATGAAATAAAAAAACTAACTAAAATTACAGACATTCAGAATTTATGATCTAAAATCAGAATTTGTGAACTAAAACACTTAAATGACAAAAATATCAAGGAATCAGCCAACAGATGGATGGAACCAGTAGAACATTGTGTTGTGGCTGAGAGGATAAAGATATTGCCATGTAGGTCATGTATTCATCAGAACAGTGAAGAAGTTGTCAGAAAATGTTGTGCAACAGTGAAGAAGTTGGGTAGTACAAATGAAGAACTGGAGAAAAAAAGGGTTTTCCGATGAAAAAGAGCAGCAACTTGAAACCCCAAAATATCAGAAAACAGCGATATTTTAGGGCCAGAAACTTAGAGTTTTTAAACAAGCCAGGATAGAAGCCAAAAGCAGCCTCATTTCCTTTGATTATGTAGTAGATTAGTGTTTACATAATGTTTACTCTCAACCTTTCTCACAAATGTTTCCTTCCTGTTATTTTAGTGTTTAGCCAGATTAAAATCGTCAGATAGACATAATAAAACTGACAGTGTTCTAATGCTTGCCTAATACAAATCAGGGATAAATTGAAATATTTTATAATGGATTCCAATTGTCTCCTGTTCATGATTATTGTAAGAGAAGTCCGATTTAATAATTTGTACTAATTTTTTGTGTTTATTATTTTGACCTAAATATAATTTAAGATTTTGTAAAATGAGTAAGATTTCATTTTGGTTCCTATACTTTGTTTTTATTGTTTTACATTCTATAAAATTTGAAATAATTGTTTTTCGTTCTTACAGATTGTTTTAATGTTGATTTTAGTCCCTCAAAAATATTTTTTCTTTAATTTTATCCTATCAAAGTTTGAAATAATAAATTTTGGTTCCTAACACCAATATTATATACACTGATAGTTACTATTTGGAATGGTCACTTGAATTTTATTTTATTTTTTCTCAGCAAATAAGCACTTGATGATGAGTATACATAATATTAGAGATTAAAATACATATTATCTAGAGATTAAAAATATATTTAATCTATTATGTCATGTATGCAGTTAATATACATTCACGTTTATATATATATATATATATATATATATATATATATATATATATATATATATATATAATATAGTTTAATTAAAATAATTTTGATTTAGATTAAGTTAATCTATCAATAAATACATAAAAATAAAAATAATTTATAATTCAAAAATATATTTTTTAATTCGCTTTGATATAACTTTTGATTATTTATATTGAATATATATTTTGATTAAATAATAAATTTAAAAAATTAAATTAAATTATGATTAAAAATTGAAGCAGAAGTGAATAAACATAATAGTATCATTTACAAATTTTATAATTGTCACCATTTTAATTTGGGAATATATATCATATTAATATAAGAAATATTCAAAGATAAATAAACTCCAAAATTCAAAATATATATTTATCATTATAATAACGGATTAAAAATAAATATTATTTTTAAAAGTTCTATAGAACAATTAAAAAATGTGAAAGTAGATTGAAAGATGGAGAAGACGATTGATAATTTGTAAGATATTCACCATCTTAAATTATTAATTTACGGATAAAAATAAAAAAATTTCATTAAGAACTTAAAATATTTTTGTCTCACAAAACATACATAAGATTACTAGCAACAGTCATTAATTAAATTCGTCCAATAAATTATGTAATTAGCTTAACTTAAACTAGTGTCTAAAAAGATTTTTTAATTATAAAAACTCCATTGAAGTGGTAGAAATCTTTTAAAAACCATTCCCTTATTGTTCTTCTGCTTTGAATTGAATTATGAGATAAAAAAAGACATAATACTCGTAACAAAACGAGACAATAGAAAAAAAAAAGACAAAGATTACACATGACTATGATGTCAAATGTAAACAGTAGTAAAAGACCCATGTAAAAATTTTTAAATTACCTGATAATAGTAGAAATAAATGAATCGAATATGCAACCATTACATTTGGGTCAGGCTCTTTAATTCTATGTTTCTGGTTTCTAAACTCTCACTCTATACACGATAATATTGTGGACTAAAGATAAAAGTGATTTTAGTAGTCTAAAGCACGAAACTTACATGGTATTTATAAAGTTTAATCCATGAAAGAGGAGTTTAGAGGGAAGCATGAAAATAGAATATAGCCAATTTTTCAATCAAAATATTACCACTTTGATAATTAATTGAATACACATTGAATAATGAACCATGTACATAAGAGAATTATTTTACATTCCTTATATCTCAAAAATGATCTTGAAGATTCACTAAAGCTTTTAGGAGATACTAACATCTGATACAAATTTGGAGACAATAATATTAAAGATTTCCTGAAAGAAAGATGCTACTAGAAGTGTTATGTGATAGATTCGGTACGTGAAAAAGCAACATGGATACGTGAAAGAGAAATCTGATTAATTTATTCCAATTTATTTCAAGTTTGGGGTTACTTCACCAACCACAAATGAAACAAGACTTTGATCTTTAAATTTTATTTAGACAACTTTTTTCTTTTTCTTTTTTTTCAAAGAAGATGATCTAACTCGCTTAATATAGTGATACATATGGCAAGAATCAGCGATTATAAGATTGATCCTTGAACTAAGGAATTTCACTGCTTGGATTTGTTATTTTATTAGCCAAGAAAAGATGTATTATTTAAAGGTACAGGCCATACTCTCTAATTTTACAAAATATTTTACTGCAGAATAATATCTCCACAGCTTTACTACAAGATATCCACAGCAAAACATAGCTCCCCTAACCTGAGGGTACGAACACATAGATACAGATATTTAAAAGCTGATATTTGTAATTAATGTTTCAGATTCTAATGACTCATGCTAGCATATTAGCACAGGGAGCACATTTATGAACTTTGGTTGGTAAATATAGGGCATTTATCATCTACAGATTTGTTTCCTCAGGCAAATGTAGCAAAAATTCACAAATAATATCAAAATTTATTTGTTTTAAGCTAAGTAAACTACGTAAATATGAACATTATAGCAGGTGTATCCTATTCATGATCATGTCTTATTACCAATAGATATGCTCAAGTTTGTGTGCGTTGTGTTTGAACCTCAATTTGTAGAAAAAACTAATGAACAATGGCGCAAACCTTGCTAGCCACTGCACTAAGAAAAATGGACAGCAGATCCCATATAAAACATTTACCCCCACAAAGTAACATATTTCAACAAAATTTTCACTAGATTTTCTCCATTACTTAACCATCCATGTATATGAATATTGTGATATGACCATTTCATCAGTTATCAGATGATAAATGCCATGAACAAATTAAAAGAGATCAGTGAAGGTTTGATTTTCACTAGCATTTCAAGTTTCTTAAGTCTATTTGAAAATAACAAGCAATCACAAGATAGGCTGATAATTGACAAGCAGATTTATTATTATGGCCTAGAACAACATATCCCTTTCATACTAGTAGCATCAAAGCCACATTGATGGCTTTGAAGTCCATAAACATTACTCCTCAAAATCCACTCAAACTACCAAAGAATAAGACAACATATATACTGTTTGAAGGTAAAACAGATTACATGTAATCCTGATAGGAATTAAGAAAAATTGAAAAGGCTAACTGCTGTGTCGTAATTGGTGAATAGCGTGAGTTTAAAAGAGAGATATAACAGGAAAGCTATAGAAGAGAAAGTTGTCGTGTGGCAATGTATTTCTGAGAAAACGAAGTACTTATCATTGTTTTTCTTATATTTTGTTTGCTGCTGTAGCTATTATTCTAAAATTCTCTTGAGAGCTACAATCTTGAAATCTGTTGCGATTTCAACAAGTCCTCTGTAAGAGGCGAAAAAGAAATAAGGACTTCTGATAAAACTAGTCAACAACCTATAAGTTGATGATCATAATCATTCATAATACTCAACACAACCCGGTTCTATTAAATTAGAATGTTACTTCAGAAACCCCTTCATAACTGTGATGAAGTACATTGGTGCACCATAGTTCAAGCCATATTACTTTAAACAATGTTATTTTCTTACTCTTACTTTAACTCAACAAAAACATGAAGTTCGTATGTCGGAGAAGCTTCTGTTGATATGAATAATAGACTATCGCGTGCTGAAAATTAATAACTACACTACATTTGCTTTCCCAATCATGGGTGATTTGAATAGGCTCTAAACCTGTGCTCCTGTAGACAATCACCTCTTAACAAATGCCTTAAAAATATTGTTTTTACCAGATAAAATTGACCAAGAACTATGAACATGATTTCGCACCGAAATCATTGAACAACAATGGAGATAAAAAGCATTTGTTGTTGTAACTGCATTGATAGGTGATTTCTTTATAGAAGGAAACATGGGGCAGTTGGGAATGCTTGATGCTGAACTGTCCCATTTAACTCGTGTCAGACAAGAATTGCTTAACAGTCCTTGTCAATTTGAATCTGACTAAAGCAACTGCATTATATTAATGAACTCAAGGAAACCCAAATGCCCTTGTCTTCTGATAGCAGCGAGTACTTGTATCTGAACATTCTGGAGAAAGTATTGAAAGAAAAAGTAATCAAGACTGCTCACCATCAACCATTTTTAATAAGCGCAAGGTTCATTTCGACTTCTTGACAGAAACTACCTCTCAATTCTAGTTAGATTTATAGATAGCTTGACTACATTAAGAGACTTGTTAGTATTTTAAGAAGGATAGGAAAGATAGTTTGATGTTTAGTAGTGAGATTTGTGTAGAAAATAGTTTTTAGAAAGAGGTGGACAAATAGGAGAAGGTTTGTATGAGGGAAGATAGTAATTGATGTTAAAAGTGTTACAAGATATGTAGGAGCTTGTATTAGATTTTCCACACATACAAAGACTCCCTTCATGCCTATTTATAGGCTTTACTTACAAGATTCTAGAATTTTCTACTATTTTCATTGTTTCTACACATTTCTTCTTCTTTTTCTTTTTCTAGAATCATGTTGTAGTTTCTACTAGTACACATATGTTTTCTACATAATTCTAGAAGTTTTACATAATTCTATCTTTTCTTAATTCTAGAATTATCTATCTTCTACTTTCAAACATTTCTAGAATCTTCTAAGGATTCTAGATATTACTCATATATAATTCCTAATTCTAGTAACATCTAAGATTTTATATTCTAGATCTTTCTAGAATTTGTATCATCTTTCAACACTCCTCCTTGATGCAAATTCTTGTAACTCCAAGCATGAAACGTAATTGTTCAAACTTGGCTCTTGGTAGTGCCTTGGTAAATATGTCTGCAATTTGATCTTCCGTAGTGCAAGTACTCAAGTTGAATTTGTTTAGTCGCTTCAACCTCTCTCGATGAAGTGATATTTAATAGCTATATGTTTTGTTCTTTGATGATGAACAGGATTTTTCGTCATTGCTATTGCTGATTTGTTGTCGCAATAAATAGTAGTTGGTCCATCTTGTGGTTCGCCCATTTCTTCAAGTATTCTTCGTAGCCATATTGCTTGACTTGTAGTTTCAAGCAGCTAGCTATGTATTCTCGCTTCAGCCTATTGATTGTGCCACGCTTGCTTGCTTCTTTGATGCCCATGAGAAAAAACCCGATCCAAGTGAGAAGGCGTATCCCGACGTACTCTTCATGTCGTCTATTGATCCCGCCCAATCACCGTCGGTGTAGCAAATCATCCTTGAGTTGGTCATGGTCTTGTACCATGTACCAAACTCTCTTGTGCCTTGCGGATACCTTAAAATCCTTTTTCCTGCTCCATAGTGAATCCGACTTGGCTTTTGCATGAATCTTGACAGAAGACTTGTAAGCATACATAATGTCTCGGTCGTGTAGTCGTGAGATATAGAAGGCTTCCGATCAAACTCCCGTATCGTGATACATCTACTTCGGTGCTCCATCATCTTTCTTTAGCTTTTCGTTTACCACCAAAGGAGTAGTGACAGGTTTACATCCGTACATCTTGAATCTCTTTAGTAGAGCTTCAGTATATTTCTTCCGAGAGATAAATATTCCTTCTTTTTGTTGTATCACCTCTATCCCGAGGAAGTAGTTCATCAAGCCAAGATCAGTCATTTCGAATGTTTTCATCATATCTTCTTTGAATTCTTTCATCATTTCCTTATTGTTTCCCGTATAGATGAGATCATCAACATATAAGGAGACAATGAGATTATACTCGACCTTGTGTCTTGATATAAAGTGTTGGCTCACTCTTGCTCCTCCTAAATCCTTGATTGATAAAATATTTATCAATCTTACTATACCATGCTCGAGGAGCTTGCTTCGAGCCATATAGAGCTTTTCTTAGTCTTAGTACTTTTCCTTCGTGGCCTTTGTTGATGAATCCTTGTGGTTGCTCAACATAGATCTCTTCTTCTAGTGTTCCATTGAGAAAGGCGATTTGACATCCAGCTTGATGGATGTTCCAACCTTTTGTGCAAGCAAGGGCTATTAAAGCTCTAATTGTATCTAGGCGAGCAACTCGGAGCAAAAGTCTCATTAGTAGTCGATCCCAGGTTGTTGTGAGTATCCTTTTGCAACCAATCTTGCCTTATATTTTTGTATGGTTCCATCAGTGGTTGAGCTTAGTTTTATATATCCATTTTACTCCAATGATATCTTTTCCGTGAGGACAGTCCACAAGCTCCCAAGTATTATTCTTCTCAATCATTTTGATTTCTTCTTCCATGGCCTTGACCCATACTTCTTGCTTTGAAGCTTCTTCATAGCAGGAAGGCTCAATGATGGCCATGTTACAAGTTTCATATATATCTACCAAAGATCTTACACGTCTTGGTGTAGACTCGGTGAAGTATATTCTTCTTCTTCTTGTGGAGGTGGAGAAAGCGTACTCGGATCTCCTCGTTTCTTCTTCAAGTTGTTGTACTCGGAACCAGGATGTTGCTTCTAACAACTTTTTCTTCTTCCCAATTCCAAAAAGCATTTTCGTCAACCTCAACATCTCGACCGATGACGAGTTTCTTTGTTTGTAGGTTGTAGACTCGATAGCCTTTTGATCGTTGGCCGTATCCCAAGAATATTCCTCTTATAGTTTTGTCTTCAAGCTTATGCCTCCTCCGATCGAGAACATGTATGTAGCAAATTGATCCAAATATTCGTAGGTGTTTAGCCGATGGCTTTCTTCCACTCCAAGATTCAATAGGAGTCTTGTTTTGGACTACCTTAGTTGGACATCTATTGAGTATATATACAGCAGTGTAAACTGCTTCTGCCCAAAATATATTTGACAAGCCTTTCTCCTTCAACATTGATCTTGCCATCTCCATGACAAGGCGATTTTTTCTCTCCGAGACACCATTCTCGTTGTGGAGAATATGCGACCGTAAGTTGTCGCTCAATACCTTCATCCTCACAGAATTTATCAAATTCGTGGGAGGTGTACTCTTTGCCTCGATCGCTCCTGAGAACCTTTATCTGTTTTCCGCTTTGCTTTTCGACAAGGGCCTTAAATTTCTTGAATATTCTAAAGACTTCGATTTTGCTTTGATGAAGTAGACCCAAGTCATTCTAGAAAAATCATCAATGAAGAGAATGAAGTACCTCGTTGTTATTAAGCGATGGAGTCCTCATTGGTCCGCAAATATCTCGTGTGGATTAACTCCAACAAGTCTTTTGCTCTCCAAGTATTTCCCGTAGAAAATGGTAATCTGTGTTGCTTTCCCGTAAGACATCCTTCACAAGCTTCACTACTCTCCTTAAGGCTTGGTAGATCTCTCATCATGCCTTTTTGATGTAGTAGCTTTAAGGCATGAGTATTGAAGTGACCAAATCTACGATGCCATAGCCACGAGTCATCAACTTCTACTTTCATGGCAATGTTAATTCCTCGATCGAAGCTTATAGGAAAACTTCTATTTCTCTTTTCCATTTTTACTTGGCCAATCTCTAGATTTTTCTTATCGTAGATAAGTGCATGTATCTCTTTCAAAGTGGAGAGTATATCCTTTCTCCATCATTTGACCAATACTTAAGAGATTTTCTTTAAGATTGGGAACTAGTAAAACATCATTGATAAGTCTCATACCTTTCTTGGTCTCCACCATAACACTACCTTTTCCTTTTGACTCTACCACGGTGTCATTTCCCAATCGTACTTGAACTTTTATGGAGTTATCAATTTCTTTGAAGATGCTTGGATCATTCGCCATATGGTTACTACACCCGCTGTCCAAGTACCATCTTCCTTTTGATTCATTGTCAGAACATCCTGTAGCATAGAAGAGATGTTGTTCTCTGTCCCGTTCTTCGGCAAAATTTGCTTGTTGATGATTTTTGTTGCGACACATTTTCTCTAGATGTCCAAATTTCTTACAGTATTGACATTGAGGTTTTCCTCGATGCCAACAATCTTTTTCTAAGTGACTTGTCTTTTTGCAAGTTCCACATGGAGGATATTTTCCTTGAATAGTCTTGGAAAAATTTCTAGAATTTTCCTTATTCTTAGAATGTTCTCTATTAATTTTATTTCCTCCATTTTGAGACCACAATTTTAGTTTTGATTGAAAGGCATTTTCGACGGAGTCTTCTTCACGCCTTTTCAATCTTTGTTCATATGCTTCAAGAGAGCCTATTAGTTGTGTCACTGATAATGTAGATAAATATTTTGTTTGTTCAATTGCAGTTGCAATTGCATCATATTTTTGGGGAATAGAAATTAGAATTTTCTCAACAATTTTCTTGTCAAGAATATTTTCCCCATAGGCTCTCATCTGACTAACTATTTCTTTTATTCTAAAATAGTAGTCTTTTATAGTCTCAGATTCATTCATTCTTATTAACTCAAATTCTCTTCTTAGAGAATGGAGTTTAATATTGCGTACCTCATCACTTCCTTGAAACTCCTCCCGAATTGTATTCCAAGCTTCCTTTGCACTTGTGGCACCCATTATTCTTGGAAAAATAGTGTCATCAACCGCTTGTCGAAGAGTGAATAATGCCCTTGAATCCTTCTGTTTGTTTTCCTTCACCTCCTTCCTCCGGGCAACTGTAAGAGTTGAGATGTCTTCTGGAATAGTGAACCCATCTTCAATGACATCCCAAAGATCTTGAGAACAAAAAAATGTCCTCATTTTGACTCTCCAAAAATCATAATTTTCTCCCTTAAAAATAGGAACTGGAATGGATGATGTTTGGTTGGTAGTGGCCATAGGTTGAAAAATTTCTTTTGGAAGTAATGTGTAGTGGAATATGGTTTTTTAAGGTAGTAAAAAATTTTCTCTACGCCCAGTAGGTGACCGAACGTAGCTCTGGTACCACTGTTAGTATTTTAAGAAGGATAGGAAAGATAGTTTGATGTTTAGTAGTGAGATTTGTGTAGAAAATAGTTTTTAGAAAGAGGTGGACAAATAGGAGAAGGTTTGTATGAGGGAAGATAGTAATTGATGTTAAAAGTGTTACAAGATATGTAGGAGCTTGTATTAGATTTTCCACACATACAAAGACTCCCTTCATGCCTATTTATAGGCTTTACTTACAAGATTCTAGAATTTTCTACTATTTTCATTGTTTCTACACATTTCTTCTTCTTTTTCTTTTTCTAGAATCATGTTGTAGTTTCTACTAGTACACATATGTTTTCTACATAATTCTAGAAGTTTTACATAATTCTATCTTTTCTTAATTCTAGAATTATCTATCTTCTACTTTCAAACATTTCTAGAATCTTCTAAGGATTCTAGATATTACTCATATATAATTCCTAATTCTAGTAACATCTAAGATTTTATATTCTAGATCTTTCTAGAATTTGTATCATCTTTCAACAAGACTAAAGCATTTGAAAGTAACTTATCAATATAATGATTTTATATTTCCATCATTAACTAGCAATTGATGTTGATGCTAAACTCATGGCCATTCAATATTCAATGGGAAAAATACGATTTATAAAACATTTGTTAAGATGTGTGATTATCCAAGATGCAAGTAAGATGCCTTTGTATGAATATCCAGACATATAGGGCAAACTGTGGCAGAAAAACACCACAAGTGAATGAGGCTCCCACTCATCGGGACAGCCTTACCAGTTACCACCAGAAACAGCAGGACTATTTCTTGGAATTGAATTCATGATCTTCAGGTCACAAGATAACCCCACCGTTAACCCAACACTAATCATCCAGAATGAGCACAATACCAATGAACTTAATTGTTAGTAACTTTTTTACTCCAAAACACTTTCCATCAAGTAGAGCAAAGTTTGGTATACATAGCAGCAATCTCCAAACAATAAGTTAGATAATCTCAAACTAGAAACAGATTGACAAAATAAGGCCAAACTTTAACGGATGATAGGAAAAAAATGCTTTTTTCTTAAATAGTTAAGGTCATAGCTAACCTCTGATATTCACCGACCTCTTTCATCCAAATTTTAGAGAGAAAGATCAACACTGTCAAATTATTAAAAGGAATAACGGATAGGAAAGGGGATTAAAACATCAAATAGTTAGTAAATTAAGATAGAAATGAAAGTCGAAATTTTAGCAAATTGAATCGCTTGGTAAGAAACATCTTTCACATTATTCACGTGCAAATACAGGGTGTTTGTTCCGGTCTTGGCAGAAATATATTCGTAATTAATGGAGACATAGACTTTGAAGCATTTTAGCAAAGAATTCCGATGGATATTTTTTCCACAATTATATTAGCTCGAAAGTATTTTCCTATTTCTATTACTTATTATACTTAACAAGTAGTTCTTAAAAATCTTCTCTTTCACAATTTGCTAAAAATTTATTTTCCAATGATACAGGTAGAATCAAAGGTATCTCCAACATTGGATAAAGATATCATACAACAACTCATGGCTATGGATCCAAAAAACACAGAGGTTAATTTAAACCATCGTTCTCTGATGAAGTCTGATTCTTACATACCAACACATCATGCTCACATCTAAGCTAAGTGTGGTAGTAAATAAAGTAGTCGCGACCAATATGCCCAAAAGACAAATATACATCTTAGATTTTATCCTTCCTTAGTAAACACTAATCAATCGTAATTTCCAATTTTACATTTTAGGGTTTTGAAAGGGGTTGAACATACATTTCATGTACATATCCACCCTGTATATGATTATACCAAACACTGTTTACCTCTCACCACAATTGGCAAAACAGCAACAACATTTAGTTCCATATATATATATATATATATATCAACGCAGGAACACCCCAAATCTATGAACCGTTTAATGTATGTATCAGTATCAAAAATTAAGTAATTAGCACATAAGGCAACCCAACAGATTAAAGAATATCGTTTCCTTTTATTATAATTATAAATTGGTTGAAGAACGACGATATACAAGGCACATCTGTGTGCAGATTGCATGACAAAAATCACATATCAAACTGCATTACACTGGGAAGGAGCGACCAACCTTCCAGTGTCGTTTTTGTTGTTCATGTAGTCGTCCGGAGTGAACGAAACCTGCAAAGGGTAGCAATTAAGGGACAAAGGGTGAGGCCTGAAGCTCATGCCACTAAACTTGAATTTGATCCAAGCAATCAAAGTGATTCTAAAATTGACCGAATCGTGAACACGCCGTTGCGCCGCGATTTCCTCAAGCACGCCGTCAGAGAAATTGCTGCGGGGCACCACAAACTTGGCTTGGAACGGTATGTTGATCATGACTCCCTTCGACAACGGTGGCGGTTCGAGCGGGGTGGAGAGGATGGAAGAGTTGTTGAACCATAGCTCGAGGTGCAGACTCTTGTACCATACAGCAAGCAATACGTTAGGGTTTTGCAGAATGCCCTGGAAGTGAAACGTGACCGTTTGCTGGACGGTGGTGCTTATTGGCACGGGGGACACGGTGAGGGACGTTACTTGGAAGGAGGGTAAGTGGGGTGTGAAGACGATACACATGAGGATGACAGTGATGCCCACGAGGCAGGTGATGATTATCCCAGCTGCGATATGGATGAGGTTGACGTAGTGGTTACGGTTGAGTCTTGGCATGGTGAGTTTGTGACGGTAACAATGAGAATGAGGATTTTGGCATGGGAATGTGATGTTGTGAAGGTATTTGAAAGGGAAGGAGAAGGAGCGTTACAAATAGGACAATGGAGAGTGAAAAAGTTAGTATTTTAAGCAGAAAAAAATGGGATGCTGACAAGTTACTCAAAGGGTTTTGTATTTGCGACACCTCCTCAACATTCAATGGAGGTTTCTCTTCTCCAGGAAGAAACTACAGTGGCTGAGAGTTGAATCATATGTTTTTCTTTCCCTGATTTCCTGCACTTTTTGTATGAACTCTATTGAGGAACAGTAAAAAGCAAGATACTGAAAGCAAAAGGAATGGTTTTAACACACAGTTTTTAACTATGTACAGTACAGCACAGCAGCATATGAAACCGTGTTTGTGTCATAAATAATTCAGTTTAAATATTTTGAATGTTCAAGTATATAATAATCACTACCTATTAATGTTCAATATTTAATAATAGCTATTAAATGCCAATAATCACTATCTATTTATTGTCCTAGTATTTATAAGTTTTTTATAATGATATCAGTTTAATAATAAAATTGATTTTATTTTAACGTTGATTAATTTCAAGACTAAAAAAAGTAGAAGAAATCATTTTAATTTTAGTTTTAATATGATATGTTAATTTGACAATAAAAATTCATAAATGAATTACAAAATTTGATGAGCAATTGCAATTATTAAAAATATTTTATTTTGGATTCAGTTAATTTTCAAATTCAAACAAATGTTTTTATTTATTATTTATTTTTAATTGAAAATTTTAATATTAAAAATGTAATAAATGCACCCAAGATAATCACTCATTAATAATAATAATAATAATAATAACTTTTTTAGTAATTTTAAGTAACTTGTTGATTTTCATAATTTTTGAATTTTATGTATATTATTTTATAGAAAAGTAATTATTGTTTAATAAAAAAATTATTTTGGTTTTGATGCTTTAGGTGTTTGTGACTAACAATTTTTTTCTATTGATTTTTATAATTTTTTACTCTTTGCATTTGGTTATCAATGAAAAAACATATCGTTTTTATCTCTATAAAAAAAATTATTTTTATTTTAATCTTTATTTGTTAAGTGATTATATTAGTGTCATGAATAATTCACACACATGTATATATTTTTTAAAACTTTTTAATTTGAAGGAAAACAATTAATGCAAATGGTGTGTGTGTGTATATATATATATATATATATATATATATATATATATATATATATATATATATATATATATATATATATATATATATATTTTTTTTTTTTTTAATTTTTTTTTTCTTTTTTTTCTTTCATAGTCTCAACCTATGGAATCATACTGCTAAATGACACGTATAATATACATCCACTATTCGTAATAGTGATCCTTTACATAGAGAGGATTGAAAGGGATAGCAGCTGCAATTAAAGATTGTGAGTTTTTTAAAATTAGAAGTTAAATAAAATTACGAATAGTTAAAAAATAATGAATCAAAACTATAAAAAAAAAAAATCAAGATCCAAAATAATAAATAAATAAAGTACAAAAAAATTAAAAGACCAAAATTATAGGTTCTGTATATACAGTAAACAAAATTACAGTTTTAATTATTTTCACTCTATCATTATATTCATTGAATAACTATTTGGAATATATTGATTAAGTTTGAAAAAAATTGAATAAACTTAAAACTTAAAATTGATCAGTTAAATAATTTTTTTGTCTTATTATTAATTTTTAATTTATTCTCATTATTAATTTATAATGTGAATTTGTTCTAAGTAAATCAATTTGGTTCTTCTCATTAACTTCGCTGTGTGTGCCGAATAAAAAAAAATATCATGTGGAAATGTCCTAATAATTATGTATATTGTAATTATATAATAACAGTGATAGATAAGTTGGTCTTACGTTATATTATTATGGGATATTTTAATGAGTTAACCAAAAGATAAATTAATTCATTTCACAAAAAATAAAGATAAATCAATACTGTAAATAATAATCAACAAAATTGAAAAAAAAATCATAAAAAATTAATATATTTATCCTATTTAATATAAACATTTTGACATATCAATAATGTTTTTAAATATCAACCATAAACATTGAATGTTTTCAATAAATTTAAAACTAATAATTAATGATATACATTTATCACTCTGATTCATTTATGGAAAATGATACTTTGACAACTCAAATCCATACAACTCCTATAAATAATTCTCATTTAATATTATAATAATAGTTTTACTTTATTTTTATTTTATTAAATCATTATATAGATTATTATATTAATAAAAGTGAGTTATTTGAAGGGTTGTGTGGTTTCTAGTTGTTAAAATATCACCACTCTTCATTTATTAGGTATTTAAGTTTTATTAAATATAACATAACTACAAACTTTTGTGCATCTTCAATCGATGTTGTTAGCAAAAGTTGTTTTGGAATAAAAGTGAATATTTTATTATGAATCTCATATATGAGCTATTTGAAAGTGTAGAAAGTTATTTAAAATTTGAAAGAAAATTATTTGGATAAATAACTCTGATCATGTTTTAAGCAATTCAATTATGAGACTCATCATAAAATATTCAATTTTATTCTTAAACAATTCTAATTAAAAACTTCCTTTAGATATGTTCTTAATAATCTATAACGAGTGGTTATAGCATTCACACTTCTTGCAGAATAAGCATTCAACGTCGGGTGTGGAAGGCTTTCAGCGTCGGTTCCAATGACGTCGTTGAATCAGGCGTCGTTGAATGTCAAAGGATTCTACGTCGGTTCAGAATACCCGACGTAGAAATGAGTAAATTCTACGTCGGTTATTGAACTAACCGACGTTGAAAGTCATTTCTCGCTCAAGCGACCGGTGTACTCGCTTGAGCGACGAAGCCTTCAAACAAAGGGGACTCTCGGTGCTTGTTTCGCTCAGCGAGTACACCGGTCGCTTGAGCGAGAGAGGACTTTCAACGTCGGTTAGTTCAATAACCGACGTAGAATTTACTCATTTCTACGTCGGACATTGAACTAACCGACGTTGAAAGTCCTTTCTCGCTCAGCGACCGGTGTACTCGCTTGAGCGACGAAGCCTTCAAACAAAGGGGACTCTCGGGTGTTGTTTCGCTCAAGCGACCGACGTTTCGCTCAAGCGATCGACGTTACAACATCGGTTAATGCAATAACCGACGTAGAATATCCCTTTTTTTAAAAAAATTTTGTTCTGTTTTTGTGCTACCATACACGACCTGCTATAAATCTCGATCCGAAATCTCGATCCAAGCGATTTACACAATATATACACAATATACAAAAATCTCAACCAGGTCTTTTCACCTAATCACTATATATTTACACAATACACAAAAATCTCAGTCCAGCCCACATTATGTACATAATACACAAAAATTATCAATCAATCCTATTATTCCTAACTACTTGTACAAACTTTTTCGCCCATTTGTTTCTAACCATGTCTATAGTATCCATAGGCAAAGGTTCTATATCTTTAAATGCCTGTAAGAAGTTCACAATAATAGAATGGTAAACCTTAAGCAATAAAAATAAAGGAATTGAATATAATAGCAAATGTCAACTTACCTCGTCCCAACTATCCCGAATGCTACCAAAAATGATGAGCCACATCCAATACATTACATAGTAGCCGCACTCGTAGCCTCCATTTTGTTTGTTACACTAAAAATGAGTAAATATGTTAAAAATAACTATTAAATTTGAACGTAAATTAATAGATAGTATAATATATATAAAGGCTACTTACTTTGATAAAATTCCAATTTGGAGTTGTGCTTTTACTTGTGTGTTTTCCATCTAATGTACTACAAACCTTTAAAGCACTATATATTGAAAAGAAGGGGCTTAGAAATAGAATAATCAAGATGTTTAGACATAATATAATAAATACTTACTCGTTTACAATATTTTTTAGCTCCATGTCCGGTTTTCTTCCTAATGAGCGGAACCAACACACAAGATTCTCGCTTTGGACAAATAACTAATAATGCCAGTGGTTTCGTATATACACATGATTAGAATCTATTAAAAAAACTTGTGTAAAACCGGAAGAGGCTGGGATAACTTACGAATGATGGTATGCTCCAAGGTAAATATCTCTTTTAGAAATAGTCATCCAATTCTGCATGTAACTGAGAATTTGATCACGCTTATTCCCATACTTTTGTATGGATTGAGGCTCGAAGAATCCATACACATGACCAATGCCCTGCTCCACTATCATTTCGTGCATCATCCTAAAATATGTCAATTTAAGTGAACTTATAGCTTATATATTTACTAAAATGAAAAGAGTCATGAAAGATATGAACTTACAATGTCCAAAATTGTAAAACGACTATATTTAGACATTGATTGCCCATCCCAATCTCCAGGGCATCGGTGTGGGAAATGTATAGGGGGATATTGCTAGAAGCCATCCCAAATAATGTACAATCCCATGGAACTTGGAATGACTGCAGATACAATTGTGGGGAAAGAGACAAGAGATCAAAAATTGGATTTGGAGAAGTCTCCACAACCTGGTGTCTTCTCCTTAGATGCGTAAGGAGTGACAATAGCTTTACCCAAGTCTTTTGGCTGCCGAACATCCTACATATTTTATAAAATATAATCATAAACAATAAATCAATTTATTTATGTGTTAGATGTATTATAACCATACATATACATACCTTTGCCATTATTGACCTAACTAAATGTCGGGGCCAAGTAATGAAGGTCTGAAGGGCTTTGCCCACTGTCTGCACCTCTTCAGTGGGGATAGGGACACTAGCCGCAACGTCAACCACCTTTTCAACCACTACTTTGACCAAGTTAGGATCCAAAGGCACATTGTGGATGGTTGAAGCCCCTTCATGAACTGATTAAGTGAATCATTATATCAAAGAATGATGGAGGAAAATACATCTCCAATTGACATAGCACAACCGTAGCCTCATTTTC